TGCGAGATAATCGCGGCTTAGGGGAAAACATTAACAGGGATATAATTCTTAATTTGGCGAAAATACGTGAAACGAGGGATTTATTTATTTGGCCAGGGAAATTTTCAAAGACGAAAAGTAGAAATCCTGGAAGCAAGAATTTATGGACATGAATAAAAAAAAAAAAAAAAAAGATAAAAGAGAAACGCGTTTTTTATGAAGAATTCTTCATCTTTTTTTCATTATAATAATAAACAAATAAAACAAAAACGAAATACAGTAGAATCCTAACAACCGGACTTAAGAAGGCCTTCCGGATATGCGGAATTGGTTACAAAATCCGAATGTGAGGCCTTCCGGATATGAGGAATTCGTTACAAAGTCCGGATGTTTTTTCTTCCGTATATGAGAAAATCGGTTACAAAGACCGGATATGTGGCCTTCGGATATGAGGAATTCGTTACAAAGACCGAATATGCGGCCTTCCGGATATGAGAAATCGGTTACAAAGTCCGGATATGAGGGATTCCGAATATGAGGAATTCGTTAAAAAAAAAAGTCCGGATATGAGGCCTTCCGGATATGAGTAATTGGTTACAAAAATCCGAATATGAGGCCTTCCGGATATGAAAATCGGTTACAAAGTCCGGATATGAGGGATTCCGGATATGATGAATCGTTACAAAGTCCGGATATGAGGCCGTCCGGATATGAGTAATTGGTTACAAAATCCGAATATGAGGCCTTCCGGATATGAGAAATCGGTTACAAAGTCCGGATATAAGATTCCGGATATGAGGAATTCGTTACAAAGTCCGGATGATGAGGCCGTCCGGATATGATTAATTGACATAAAATCCGAATATGAGGCCTTCCGGATATGAGAGAAATCGGTTACAAAGTCCGGATATGAGGAATTCGTTACAAAGTCCGGATATGAGGCCGTCCGGATATGAGGAATTGGTTACAAAATCCGAATATGAGGTATATATGAGTATTTTTCTTAAATCCGGATATGAAATTCCGGATATGAGGAATTCGTTACAAAGTCCGGATATGAGGCAGTCCGGATATGAGGAATTGGTTTCCGAAATGAGGCCTTCCGTAGGAATTGGTTACAAAGTCCGGATATGAGGGATTCCGGATATGAGGAATTTTAGATTAAAATAAAAGAACTGAAATCAGGTTTAACATTTATTTTCAAAGTTTTATAGTAAACAAAATAAGCTAATGGTGAGTGAAATATAACGGAATTGATTTTAAAGGAAAAAGAAATAAATTATGTAATGTTAATGAAAATTCATTAAATTAAGTCTGCCACGTATGCAAAACAAATAATGTAACGAGGATTTTTTAATCGCTGTTGCATGATGATTCTTTCTCTTCTAATGTCATTCTCAACTTTTTCCGCATTTCCTTTTGTTCTTGAAATTTTTTAAACGAAAGACAATTTTTAATTTTGCGTGCGTTATTGCAATCGTCATAGCTGAATGCTGGCTTTCTTTCCATAAAACTGACAACCTTTTCAATAGCTTTTTCAATTTCAGACCTGGTTTCATCACAATCATGTTTTCATTTTCTTGTTCATTTTGTGACAGTGTGAACGCTGGAGAATATTTTTTTGGAAGATTTTATATCATACAATGTTGACTTTCCTATGTTGAACTCAGTCATTAGTTACAATGAATTTTCACCAGCGTCTAGTCTGTTTAAAATTTCCATCTTTTTTGCGATAAGTCCAAAGTTGTTTTTTCCTCTTATTCCCATCATCTTTTGCACCAATACAAGCCATTAGGGGTGAAATAAGCATAAGCAATTATCCAAAGTAAATTTCCTGAAAAACAGAAATTTCAAATCAGTTACATATCACCAAAATAGTTCAAATATATACATCAAAATAATGTCCGGATATATGGGATTCCGGATATGAGGGATTCTACTGTATAATGCGAAAATAAATTCGGTAAAACAAAACAAAGAAAGGAAAGATAAAAAAAAAATTTAATAATGATATAAACAAATGAAAAAATGTTCACTGACTTTATTGATTAAATAAAATCATTTATTCGTAACATCTATTACTAGTAGAAGATTTAATCTAAGAAATTTAACTGATTTTAATATTATTACGTCGATTATAAAGTATAAACAAATAATAATAAATAAATAAAATGCAAGTAATAAAATAAAACATGAAATAAAATATGATAAAAATAAAATAAAAATGACGAGATTTACTAAAAAAGATTATACAGAAGGATACTGAGGAATTGATAGACCGAACAGAATCAACGACACTCAGTTAAAGGCTCTGGATAAATAAAAATATAAAAACAAAAAATCTACAAGGTAATATCAGAAAAAAAGTCCCTTGAAATTTCTAGATGGACTTTAATGAGGAGTTATCATTTTTACAAGAATCAAAATATTTAAATTAAAATAAAAATAATTGAAGAGAAAAGAGAAAAACATTAATACATTATTATTTTAATTGAATAAATAATTTAGCGGAACAAGGTTTCGGAGGGTAACAAAAAGATAAAAATTTATTAAGAGCTACGAAGGACATATCAACACAAAAAGATGATTATTACGTATTATTATTGGAATATGAAGGAAAACGTCCAAAAAACAGGTTATAAAAAAATAAAAAAATACAAATTGGAAAATCTTATTAAAAATTAA